TCATCCGATATATTTCATCATATCGCACAGCCCTACGCACAATAGCATTTAAAATATGCATCTGTTGCTGAAAAATGTGATTATTAGAACGTGGTTCTAATGGACACTCCATCTCACTGTGCTCAATTTACTACTCATAAAATTTGGTGATTAGACTGATTTTTATCTCCCATTTCATCCACTAGTAAATTGGTTGAAATAAAGACCATTAATATTTACCAAGTGGTATTAAACGCCAAGTGCTTTGGCAACTTTTGCCATCCAAATAAAATAGAAGGATTGTACAGGATTGCAATGGGAGTTCTTCGGCTCCCTCGAGAATTCCGCTCAGAAAGTAGTCCCAAATCTTGTAAAAAATGCATCTCATATTATCCAGTAGGAAAACAATGCAGCGATTTTGCAGATAAATTACTAAACTCAAAGTGACTGCAGACTCGACCCAACTTGGTTGAGCAGACAGAATGTCAAAATAACAGCTATAATTAGATAAACTGAGATGTGTTCCCTTAACTTCACAGCAGAAATTAATAGCTTTGAACTCAATTAGCTTCAGCTCACTGCCACAGTAAACAACGTAAAACCTCAGCAACACTGTTCAGTCATTTGGAGCCTCAGTAGCTTGGTAAAGAGTTCCTTAGCATTGATCCACCAGAGAGCACCTCAACACTATCATTACCAATGAACCAGTAATAATCTTTAAATGTATTTTATTTAGCTGTGTAGAAGGACCGTTACTGATAAACATCTGCCATGCCAAGCAAAGAAACAAACACACACACAAAAAGTAAACAAAGCAGTTTTGACATAGTATGATCATAAATAGCAGACCCGACTAGAACAGTGCATGATTTAATAGTGTGTGGAACACTTACTAGGTCCAGTAAAGCCAGGGGCTGCCGATGCTTGCATAGCCTCCCTTCTGTAGTCCCTGTCCTTTGGGAAACTGTTGACAACAGCAGTCTTTGTTGCCTCTTTTTGCCTCTGTTCTCTATGAAACGCATACAATACAAATTAACCATGCATGCATTCTTTATGTGACAACACTGGGACAAAGTCAAAGCTTATATAATGAAATACTTTTAGCTACCTCTCCAGCCATTCTTTGGGCTTCTCCCACTGGGACACTTCTGTCCTGCAGTTGTAATAGTATTTCTTTCCAGAGGAACTGATGTGCTCTGACCAGTCATCACCAGGTTCATAAGGCTGAAAAGAAATATACATTTAGGAACATGAAGCCAATGAGACAGAATGAAAGAGTGTGTGTGTGTGTGTGTGTGTGTGTGTGTGTGTGTGTGTGTGTGTGTGTGTGTGTGTGTGGGGGGGCTGGTTCTGATGCAAGAACTTGTAATACAATCTGAAATGTACAATAGATATTGGGGTGAAAGCAGAAAGCCTAGGAAGGCTGTTTGCAGAGCAGCTTTGTAAGGAGGAAGACTCATTCTAGAGACAGGTTTGGCTGTTATGGAATCAGATTGAAAAGGGTTGCTTTTTAAAACATTGCTGTATTGTCACTGAAGTTTTTTCTTCTTCTTCATTTCCATCATTTAGAAATAACCTAACAAATTTAATCCAATATTATGAGGTAAACAGATAGAAAAGAGCAGAAACTTGAAGCTTACATATCACTGAGAGAAAAGCAAAGTAGAAATAACTTCAAATAAAAGCACAAGTTTATGAGTGTAAGAGGAGGATTACCCTGATTTATGTGTGACATGTAAGGGAACTTAGATGAAATGCAAGTACCAAAAAACAACACTATTTTTTTACACCTGTGAAATGACACATCAGCAGGTGCTGCTGCCAGGAAACAATTCAGTCTATTGCACAGGATAGACAAGACTTCGGGCCGTTATAGCTTCCTGTGTTAAGGAAGAGGCGATACTTACTGTGTCTGAGGTCTTGCTGGGGTTAGAATGCGAGTTGGAGCTATGAAGGGAACTGTGATTGTGAGAATTTTCCTGTGGAGAATAACTGGTCCCTGCAATGAAACACAGCACAGCAGAGGGAGAGATCCATGAGTAACACACAAAAAACACAAACAAAGTTCACTGGCATCACCGAGTGTTTGGATGAAGCAGACTGCGGCAAGCATCAATGTTCTCTCGGCCAACTTAACTTCCAGGTTGTACTTTAACAAGTAAGCTCCATTAATGTAACAGTATTGGTATAATTTATTCCAGCTATGTGGCCTATCAAATAATTAGAAACTTAAAAATCTGAGAATTAAGCTGCCTACTTGATACATTTGAAGACTGCCAGCACTTCAACAGGTAACAGAACAAGTACAACAATCCGATGGAAACAGTGAACCTGCTTTTGGATATGAACTCTCTCATCTTTATCAAGATGCTACAAGAGTGTGCATTTTGAGATAACATGCCATAACATTTTTAAACTGCTTTGGTGATATAACTATATGTCAGTGAGGCAGAACAGCAGGCAAGGTACACGTGACAGAAAGGCCTCTGGTGATCATTGTTTCTGCACATGCAGCATAAGGAGATGAATGACTCAGTGAGCATCACTCTGTATAGACTAGATTCTCTAGCGGTGGACACACAGGCATCACTACAATATGCTACTGGTGCAAAATGAAAGTTTCAGCTTATAAACTTTACTAGCTTGTAAATCATCTCATTTAATAATTTTTATTAAAAAACCTGACTAGCATCTTAGGTTTACAACTCAAGAAATAATTTGAGCATATTTCCAGGATAATTTTTGTGACATACGGCCGGTTAGACAGATCAGTCCCATCCCATACTAACACTATCCATTTAGAAATTACACCCATAGTCTCTTATTTACAGATGCTCAAAAGCAACTGGACAACTGACTGAAAAGCAGTTTGTATCATTTCACTGGACCTCTCAGGTCCAATGCAATGTGGATGCAAGCGAAGGCTGAATATCCAAAACAGACATATTAAACAGATACTTGGATCCGGTCTCAATGCCCGACCCTAGAGCAGGGCGATATAGCCAAAAATATTTATCACGATATATATTTGAAAATTTGCGATAACAATATAACTGACGATATAATTGATGCGAGACAAAATACAACTCCACAACTTTACTAGCGCAAAAAAAAAACAAAAACAAAAAAACCCCCCATCCATTTATTTTCACTTAAACAAGCAGCTGTTTTTTATGTGCATTAGAGCTATGTAAAAATTAACAGTACAAAGGAAAATTCCCTGCTGAAAGTTTAACCAAAAGGCATTTCCAGTAGAAATGGGCTGACATACCCTGAGCATAACATGTATAATACCCACTGAAGTTAAAAAGCGGTGCTCTGCAACATTAAACTGCAGTGTGCCAAATAAAAAAGTCAAAAACATATTTTTCGGACTATAAGGTGCACGGGATTATAAGACACATTAAGCAAAACAAAGCAGTCAGATAAATCAAACTTTATTGAACTCATTCTTCTTGCTTCGTTCACTTCTGTACCATTGTACAGCTGTGATTGAAAACCGCATTTATTAATGCGGTTTTCTATCACAGCTGCTCTATTCCCATGTTGTTGCAGTATATTAATGACTAACCTTCTATTGTGGATGGATTATCTCAGTTGTTCTCCTAACTGAAGTTTGGTCCGTTTGCATCCTGCCATGCGATTGCATTTGTCTCTAACCATCAGGAACCTTCATGTTAACTTTTATCGAGTGGAAAAGTGTTAGCATTCATCCTCCAGCTTCACTGTTTATGTTATGCTAACATAGCTGTGTCGCTAGCGATCACGTAGCACATCATTATATACCAGCTAGCCCAACTTCAGTAACCCTACAAACGTCACTGCTGTTTAGTTTCCTGTCTTCATTTATGTTGGAAGTGATAGCAGAGCTGTACGTTTGAATTTTTTCAGAAATCTCTCAGTCAGAACATGCTATATCATGCTTAGGTAACTAGCGAAACTAGCGAGCTAACTTCCGCTAGCTTCCTGCTAACTTCTAACTCGTTAAATGTAATAAATTTTGTTTTCATGGATGCCTGGAAGTTAAACTTCATAGTTACACCTGGTAAAGCAGCAATGCTGATCGTTTTATTAAAGATGAAAGAATTTAGACAGTTTTTAACTCTCAGTGATGCTGCAGTGTTGTTTGACCTGAAGTATACAGAGTTTAGGACCCAGATTACTCCCAGATTTAAGAGCATCTTAGTCCGACAAATACGACAATAACGACGGCCGCTTGCATGTTCTGCAAAAAAATGTGCTTTGTCGTGTATCTGACGGACAAACACCAAACCAGTTCCACATCACTGAAGTTGCACCATTTTTACAACTATCCGGTCGTTAAGTCTGACGTCACTAGCCGTGTCTGGGCCTAAACTCCGCTGCAGGTCCATATATCAAACGATCACTATGGCATTACTGAGAGTTGAAAAACTGTCTAAAGTCTTTCATCTTTAATAAAATGATCAGCGTTCTGCTCTACCAGGTGTAACAATTGAGTTTAACATCCAGGCATCCATGAAAACGGAATTTATGACATTTAACGGAGTTAGAAGTTAGCAGGAGTTAGCTCGCTAGCTTCTATCTAAATACAATATAGCATGTCCTGACTGCGGGGTTTTGGAAACAAATTAAAACGTACAGCTCTGTTATCACTTCCAGCATAAATGAAGACAGAAAACTAAACAGCAGTGACGTTTGTAGGGTTACTGAAGTTGGGCTAGCTGGTATATAATGATGTGCTACGTGACGCTAGCGACACAGCTATGTTAGCATAATATAAACAAGCTAACTTTTTTTCCACTCGATAAAAGTTAACGTGAGTGTTCTCGGTGGTCAGGAACAAATGTAATCGCATGGCAGGATGCTGTAAAAGGACCAAACTTCAGCCAGGAGAACAACTGAGATAATCCATCCACAATACGAGGTTAGTCATTCATATACTGCTGCATGGGCTGGGCTGTAGTTACATCCTAAGGTTTTAAAAACTGAGCTTAAATAAATGATTAGTGGTAATAAAAGCCGAGGGAGGTCAACAGTGATCACTGACTGTTTTAAGAGCTTTTTGAGATTAAATAGAAGAAAATACAAAACATTAAACATGTTAACAACACAAAAGCCATATTAAACGCAGACTACTTTAGGCCCGGAAGTAGGATTCGTCACGTCATCACTTAACGACCGGATTCTGGTTCATCCGTCTCACTCAACGATCCGCTTTCTCCCTTCTCATTCTCCGTTGCTGCCATGCTTTTTCGGCCATGTGCGGTATGAAAACAAAGGCACCATATTCTTTTTTACCCATATTCTATCACGATATTTCATTTTCTTATCGTTGCCTAACATTGTACCGGTATTACCGTGAACGGTATAGTATGGCCCAGCCCTACCCGACACTATACACACCCTCCTCCCACCAAAACCCCACCTGCCAAATACCTTCAAAAGTTGCCCAATTGTACTGTAAAAAAGATGATAATTAAATAAAAATTAATGCACAAGATCAAAAACTAAGAGATATATTGACACTTTCGTTGACGAATAAAAACGAGATGAAAATGATCAGGAGAGATGAGAGCCAATCAGAATCACAATTAAGTTGTGTAGAGAGGCGGGACGAGTTAAATGAGTGAACATGTGGAGTAAGTTTCACTGGTTGAAAACAGGATATATTTCAGTCAACTGAATCAACTTTACATTTAGTCTACGATAATCTTATGATATTTAGTGAACTAAAACAAAGAATTTCGAATCCTAAATTATGACTAAACTAAATTTTCTGTCAAAATTACACTGTCGGACCAACTGAGTATCGGTTCACACGAACTCAATCTGTACCAAATTTCTGTACTAGAGCATATCTGGGTTTGAGGGAAAACAAGCGCAAGACCATGTTATATCACTCAATGTTGAGGAAATTTTTTAACCCCCCCCCCCACAATGCTTTCTGGAACATTTTTAGTACAAAGCTAGCCACACATCTAATCTGACAAAACAGCTGGTCAAACACAAACTATCTGAAACCTAAAGAGTGTACCGTGGCCTGAAAGCCAAATTCACCAAAGCACAGTTAATGTCTGTCACCAACGTGTAAGAGGACATCATCAGCTTTACTGACATCTTCGGGTAGTTATGTAGGTGCAGTTTTCTTCCTCCTTGGCTCCTTCCTCCATCAAGTCAAGAAATGCCAACTCATCTGCTCGTGCAAAATGAATTTCATCCAGTGTGATCAGATGTTTGTGCATGTTGGAGCATTGGGCATTTTCCCCTCTTTGTTGTGATCAGTGATTACTTAAAAAAGTACTCCATTACACATCACTCACTGAAGAAAGTGATTAGTTTAACAACATTACAATACTTTGTTTCTCTGTAAAATGACCTGAAACCCTTCATCTCAAAATTACCATCAAGCTCTGGGGCGCCTCTGTCAGTGCGCCCCAGGGTGGCTGTGGCTACAATGTAGCTTGCCATCACCAGTGTGTGAATGTGTGTGTGAATGGGTGGATGACTGGTTGTGTAGAGCGCTTTGGGGTCCTTAGGGACTAGTAAAGCGCTATACAAATACAGGCCATTTACCATCGACCAATTTAAGCCCGAGGCTACTATTTATGTATCAACACAAAGCTGGCAACCCAAGGCAAACATGAAAACCAGTCGCCACAATGATTCTACTTTGGAAGCATGAACAGGTAGAAACAGGCTGTAGCCTCACAGCTCATCCCTTTGTTAGCTGTTGAAGTTCAGTGTCTGTTTGCTAGGCTGGGGCCAGCATTTACTCAGCTTTTTAATTTGTGCAATAAAAGTAATGTCCATATACACACGCTGTAGACTGTGCCACTATTTTGCTTCTCTTGGACAAACTGAAATCAGCTGATTGTAATGCAAGTGGAACCGATAAGAAAAGTCAATAGGCAAGCAGACTAACAATTCCAAGGAATTGAACTATTGGGATTCCGATCTCAACCATGAACTCTTTTTTTGTCACAAAATAAATGTACAAAAGAAAAAAACGCAACTCAAAGAATCCAAGTCTAATGAGATCTTCAACTAAAGCACCGACTTCCGCATGAGCGACCATAAAAATAGTTCCATTGCAGCAACAAATGTCTCTAAGATTAACAAATCCAGTTTGATTTTTACAAACCAACCAGAACTAGAATAAAAATAGCTTTCAATACCCAACACTGTCAAAGCAATTATGACAGAACAGGCAGCATTTTTTATCTACTTGTTATTCTGCAAGCTTGCTTAGACATGGATACAGTAATTCCACAATAAACAGCAGAAAGCCGTGAAAGATGAAAAACTTCTAGAAAAATCTGGAAGCAAAAACAAAATAATAATTTCAAGTCCTATTAACAATTTGCTAAAACTCAAAAATAATAAAGTTCATATCTGCTAAAAAGATTGAGTTCAGCAAATAATAATAGTAACAATAGTAACAATACTGCGACACAGCTATTCAGAAGAAACTGCAAATAAGGAAAACATCATACAGAATTTAAGACCGATTGTATTCCCTTACTGAAACCTCCAACATGTTAGTATGACATATCGACATATTAAAAGTGTTGACTCAATCACATCTAACCGAACACAAAAACTGCTACAAACCAGAAACAGGAACCATAACCAAAATTTAGACTTTCTACAGGAGAGAAAAAAAATACAAACATACTGCCCAGTGGGTTATTTTTCCTTGACTTAACATATCTCTGCGCTGTCACATCATTTTACTTAATTTGGACTGGTTCTTTCTACTAACCCTCACAATGCTAAGTAAGAAGTGTCCACAACTATTTACTCTGAGGCTGTAAAAGTTTGTGAAAGGATTCCGATACGAGTTGATGAGTCAGTGAAGCTCACCTCTGATGGATGACAGAGATACTGAGATGAGTTGTTGAGGATCGCCAAAACTTTGCCCATCAGTAAGCATTTTAGTGAGAGTAACACTGCTATTAGCTGGTTTCAATGAAATTTTCTTTGAGGCCAACAATCCACTCATAAGATTTGCGAATGTGATTAAAGTATTTATCAGAGGCAAAGTGCGATGTTTAGGACACTCAAACACCAGCTATCATAACTTTGTTTATAACAAGCTGTTGTTGTTGTTTAACCAGCTTGTTGTCAGCTGTCCACAGATGGAAGGGTAGCATTTCTTTTCCGTTTAAAAATCAGTAACTGCGACAATGTCTGGAAATTCTGGACATTGTTTATGCATGTTTTTGTGTGTTAATAACTTTAGTTTAGGAAACAATGTTTCAGGTGGAGAGTAGGAGGAGAGCAGAGATGAAAAAGGCAGATGACACTTTAAAGCAGTTTTTAAGGCAAGTTTGTTTAGAATGTTTATCAGATTTATCTGGTATGGCGCGCTAATAATAATAGCATTATTCATTTGAGAAACCCAAGAATTCAAAGCCTTAACATCAGCTTCACTGAGAACACACACTGTCCCTTCAAGTGTTGAGTTGCTGTTTTCTGAGTGAGTTCCTTGCCAGCTGTAAATGTAAATTTTCAGCTAGCAGGCCTTGTCTGAACGCTTTCAATTTCACATCTTTGCCTGTAGGAGACTATAATCTTACAGAGAGAGAAAAAGAGAAAGAAGACCAGGTGTTGCTGTTCAGATTGGATGTCGGTCCATCTCTGCAGTGCTCCAGGCTAGTTATTTTGCACTGATTCAAACGTAGGGCTTCACATTATTAGACTGCTGTCATCGTAGATTCTCCCACATTAGAAATGCTTTATATGCAGAAATCTAATTGGAGCACCTGTAATCCTGCACTGAATTTTTGGCTCTGTGGTTCATGATGGAGAATCTTGTTAACCCTAAACTGTCTATGCATTTGTCTTCGTCACAGTAAAGACTTCATGAAACGGCATTTTAGAAACATTTCAAATAACTGAAATTGCAGATCAAACATTGAGGGAAAGACAAGACACACAGTTTGTAGGGGTATGGATAGGGCTGGGTGATATGGCCTAAGATTCATATCGCGATATAATTTGAAGCATGTGCGGTAACGATATATATCGCGATATATTCTTTTCTTCTGTATAACGTATTTGCCACACTATAAGGCACACTTAAAATCCTTTAATTTTCTCAAAAATCGAGTGTGCCTTATGTATGAATTCTGGTTGTGCTTACTGACCTCGAACCAATTTTGGCATGCATAAATCTGTTAAAAATGTTTGATGGATTGTCAGAGCATTACGGCTGCCGTAGTGAGGAGCTTCGCGGAGTAATCTGGGTCCAAAACTCGTCGCTTCAGGTCCCAAAGTCAAACGAACACTGAGAGTTAAAAACTGTCTAAATTCTTTCATCTTTAATAAAATCGATCAGCGTTGCTGCTTTACCAGGTGTAACAATTAAGTTTAACATCCAGGCATCCATGAAAACAGAATTTATTAAATTTAACGGAGTTAGAAGTTAGAGCAGGAAGTTAGCTCGCTAGTTTCCACCTAAACATGACATACCATGTTCTGACTGAGAGATTTTTGAAACTAATTCAAACGTACAGCTCTGCTACCACTTCCAACATAAATGAAGACAGAAAACTAAACAGCAGTGACGTTTGCAGGGTTACTGAAGTTGGACTACCTGGTATATAATGTTGTGCTACGTGATTGCTAGCGACACAGCTATGTTAGCATAACATTAGCACAGTGAAGCTGGAGGATGAACGCCAACTTTTTTTCCACTCGATAAAAGTTAACGTGAGGGATTCTGGTGGTCAGGGACAAATGCAATCGCATAGCAGGATGCTGTACACGGGCCAAACTTCAGTCAGGAGAACAACTGAGATTATTCATCCACAATACGAGGTTAGTTATTAATATACTGCAACAACATGGGAATAGAGCAGCTGCGAGAGAATTCAACATTAATGAATCAATGTTACGGAAGTGGAGGAAGCGCAGTTTTTGGCTTTCCCCATATTTCAAAAGTGCTTCATCTCTTTGCTATGACTGTCGCCCGGCATAATTTGCAGATGATAATGGTTGTAGCCGCTGCGATGCTTTCGACCAAAACAGGCGCAGCTTGATGACATCGCGATAGAGCGGTATAGTCAAAATCTATATCGTTGGCCAAATTTATATCGTTTATATCATATATCGTTTATATCGCCCACCCCTAGTATGGATACACTTCCTACACTTAAAAACATGCAAAATGGATCTTTGGTGCTGGAATGTAATGAAATGTGGCCAATGCCTAAAGGTCAGACAAGTTAGCAAACAGTTGTTTTCATCTGGAAAAGAAAGACACATGCTGTCCTTATATTGTGAGAGCCTATCCATCATGTGGCTGCTTGCATGCAAACTTGTGGCACTGTTACTAATGTTCGAGTAGCATTAGTTTGCTGTAGTGACTTTTTACAGAAAAGTGACCAGGACAGCTGACACACTCCGATTCCAGAGAGGAGAGCATGTCTGAAAAGGAGCTCAAAACATCACAATACTCCACGCATGGACTCAACTGCTTGCGTGCCAGTTACTCAAAGTTTACCAAAAAAGTCCACTTTGACAAAACTGTACTGAAATAATGTTGTTAAAATTAGCAGTTGACCAAGGCGAAGAAACAAAAGCAGTTACTCCCCTCCACAAAACGTGTCCTTCAAGACTTGAATGTCTGTGCAGAGTGTGGTCTTACTCTGGTCTGAACTTTAACTGTACTCACAGAACATCTACCTGTGAGGTTGGAAACCACGATAACCATTCATTCAATCAAATGCAACCTGCAGAGACTAATGCTCAGTGGTTAAAATTAAAGCACATAGCAACAGCTTAACAACGCGTTTATTTTAAATTTGTTTGTTCAAAAACTACCACGGCCGGATTACCCACAGTGTAAAACCTGACAGCTGCAGTTTCAATACTGAAGCACTCAGTTGTAAGAAAAACAAAAAAACAAAACAGCGCCTCACTAAGAGAAAGAGCACCTGTTTCTGGAGTAATTAAAGAGAGCAGCTTTATTTCTTTCTAAACTCATTTTATTCGCCGCTCTCACCTCCATCCCTGTCTCTGGCGCGGTGCGTGTGGACACCCTTTGCTCTACTGTGTCCCGTGCTGTCGATGTGCTTGTTTTCAGGGCTGTCAGACCTCCTGAGCATCTTGCAGGGAGGGGTGACGTCTGAAGAGTCTCGCATCTTGTCATGCCGGTGGTCCCCTCCTGGATGGCTCTTGGATGAGTATTTGAGAGTCTGTAAACACAAATCAAACGCTTTACTAAAAACCTCACACTTAAAATAGGCCTACGCTTCTGTTATCACCATTAGCAGGTTTCTAAAAGCAGCCATGGTGAGCAGAGTCCTCAGCTCTTGAAAGTACTGTCATGTCATTTCATTCATAGTTTCAATGATGCAGAAATTAATTAGCACGAGGAAATGCATATATATATATAAATAGAGCAGCTTATTTATCGACTTCGCCCCTTCTATAAGCTTATATTTAACAGCCACGTTAATTGTGCCCGTATTTCTGCTCATAACAACGTATGCATGCAAACTAACACATGTTAAATGACGAAGTAAACAACATTTTATTCGACCTATGAGTATTAGCTCGCCATTTCACTTGGCTATCGCGATTTGAATTAGGTAGTGAATTCACTGGTTTGCTGTATAAATATCAAGCACTTTGATATTAAGGAAGCTTAACTGGCTATATCCTTAAAATGACAGATTGCGGTCAGGCCCTAATCGGACTGGCTAGCAAGCAAGCTAACAGTAACAAGCTATCATTAGCTTTCAGCTGTAATAAAACTCGCCCGTACCTTTTCCAAAACAGCCGACTTCGACGAATATGTTCATTCTGTCAAGTCTTTACTAGCAATGCTAACGTTAGGATACATTTACAGGGCTTAAATGGAGGCTTTAAGCAAACCTTTCTACTTTTTGTGTTATTTTCCGCACTGACTGGGGCCTGTTGTGCTCTCCAGAAGCCTGCACTAGAGTGTCCATTTTAATCTTATTTGCTGCTAGCAAGCTAGCAGGAGACGCTTGGCTAACAAGTACCTGATAGGGCTGAGAATCTCTTCGGTCGCACCTGCAACGAAAAAGGAAACAGTTATGAATTTTAAGCTTCAAATGTCAATGTTCAGAAATCGGTGAAAGCCCCGCAGCGAGTGAGGGATACAAGTTTCCACACAGTTATTTTGGTTTCAGTAAAAATGGCGGATTGTCAAAGCGTAGCTATGAGGAAAAGGAAAAAAATGTGAATAAGTAAGGTTAAAAGGAGGTGTTTACCCATCGCCGAGTCTCGGTTGTTTCCTTGCATACATTACCATCAATGCCGTGTTAGTGTGATTGGAGTGGGATGTGAAAGACTGATAACTGCACTATGTTTTCGTGTTGATTCAGCGACCTGAAATCGCCAGTTATTTTTCAGCCTAGCTTCTGGGTATTGCAATGCTAAATCGGCTGCACTGGTCGAAAGAGCGCCCTCACTCAGTCCATCTCCCACTCTGGCTCACAGCCGTGTCTCTAACAGCCGAGCAAACGTAGCAGAGAAGCCGAGCTGAGACCGGGGTTGCCAGATAGGCCACATCCACCACTAGGAGCACGCCTTCGTGAAGTCAGAAAATGTTTACCAAGTCATGCTAATAACATTATATATGTGAGGTTTTGTTGCTCTCTGCCATGTACATATATTTGTTTTGACAGTTTTAAGCTAATACTGTTAATTTTACTTTAACATTACCGAATGTGGATATGTAAAACTTACACATAAATTATTTAACGGCGCATTAAAATCACCTCGCGTGCCAGCACTATGACGTTACTGATAAGTATTTGGAAAAATGACGAGTATATATATATACATTAACTACAATTTTTTTACAGACCTGGCAACCTAGCTGCAACCGCTGCAACTACACACACCCCCTTTCTATGGCAACATCCGGGCCACAAAGCGACTGGAGTCCCCTCAAAACTTGCAAAAACGTGAATCTGTGTTGCTGCATCGGAGAAATTACTATTTTCTATCCAGAATTTTGATTTAATGCACGTGGCTCCTGTGGTCCTCCATACTGAATAAACGATTGTGAATAAATATCATGTTGAGAGATCTGAGACTGCCAGTGACTTGTTCTCTCCTGACATCTAGTGGTTGTACTTTGACATCGCAGGTGATATTCATCTAAGCGTCAGCAATCAATAAAACTGCACTACCTAAAACACGGTTTATGGTATACCACAAACGACTGGGAAGATTTTGAATGACAGACTTTCCTTTGTCAGATTAACAAATGAAACAGGGGCCATTTTTTAAATTACTGTACTATTCTACTTTCAGTCGACTTTTTAAAAAATCTGTCTGTCAAAAATTTATGAAAGGGATATAGTAATGATAAAAAAAGACAAATCCAAACATAAACATATAAATCCCCAAAGGAGTCGTTATGGACTATAATAAACGCGTACTACGTGAAGCCATTTCCTAACACAGAGTTTGACCAGGTTGTATTAAAGTTTCAGAGTGAGTAGCTGTCACAAGGGGGCTGCAGGAGTCCATTGTTCCCAGACAATGCAGCCCACATCATATCCCAAGCCCGAGGACAAAAGAAGCTGCAGTTAAGCATTTTGGCTCACAGTGCAAATTAATGTGGGGACAAGAGGCCACAAACAGGGGGTGTTTCTATTGTTAGCATATTTCAGGAACTTTTTCACACACGTCCAGTGTTGCGTGTGACCATGTGTATGATGTCTCTGAGCTATATTAAAATGACATTAATTAATTAATATATTTATTTACGTAACAAATAAACACATTTGTTTTAGGAATAAAGCAGAATTAAATCAAATCACTTCTGGCCCTTCATTGGGCAACTTGTTGCTTTCTATCTTAATATGACCGATAGGGGGAGATATCACACCACTTTTATGGCTCTAGTAGGAAAGGTACAAAAACTCACCTGAACACTAGATTCTTATGGGTTTTGATTTTCTAGTTCCGTTTTTTTCAGCTTTTTTTTTAAATAGAAAAAACAAAACAAAAAAGTCCTACTATGATACTTGTCGATAAATGAAATACTTCACTCGTTATGATTAAACTGGCACACATAACCTTTGCTTTGGATGCACTTCTGTAAATTTCCCATCAATGTGTCCATAAACATATTTCCTCAGCGACCTGATTTTTAATTGTAATTGTGCCTCCTTGCTTACTACGGAAAGGCAAGTTTACAAGGCGTTTGCGGATGACGGACAACGAAAACAAGCCAATTAAAATGTAGAATGAATCTCTGGACACACCTCGATACAGCACTGACCAATGAACGAGCGGATGGGGTTGCCTGGGTGGTGAAAGCTCCGCGCGGCACAGATCTCAGAGCAGCTCTGTGTTGTTGCACGCCCTCCCGCTAACGCTGTGTCTAAATATACAAACCGCTTCCAAGTCAGCCCCTTGACAGAGCACTTTACGATTCTTGGAGAGTGGCACCGTCTGCCGAGGCGTAACGTTTTGAAAGCTCAGCACACACCGCAGAGAGCGGGGATGAGTTAAGGGTCTACAAAGGAAAGAACAGACGGTTTTAAAAGTGGGAAACAAAACCAGTGAAAAGTTTTGCCCTCGAAAGAACCAGTGGAGTAGCTACACCGTGGCCATTCAACTCCGAACTCCGAGTGAGTAGAACCATCACGTTATTTATCCTCACAGCTGTCAGAACAATGAAAACAAACTCATATATTTGTATTTAAAATAAAAGCTGCCGTGAATATTGCAGTGGTTCCATGGGGGGAAAGCGTAAGGCTATAGGTAGCGAGACTAGCCGTGTAACAGTGTAATAGAGGTGGAGTTGCTTTGTATGCGCTAACCTAACAGCGAACTTCAGTTGTTACCAACCTACAAAATATAAAAGTAACCACCTGGGACTTGTGCCAAATTTTACACGGTAAAATTGATTAATTCGAAGGAAATGTTAACCTCGTCCCCTTCTGTCGATATCATATGCGCAGTGAAATGTGAAATTCATTCCTAATATCGCCTTTTTAGTAAATAAAATTTCACCTGACGGCTTTTCTTTTGTGGGGTTTCCGTGGGGAAGTGAACGCAGCTGCGTTGCAGGGCCCACAACAATGTTTCGAAATGACAGTGATAAGTTGTTATTAGTGATAGCAACATGTACGGCTACACGTACAACCTAATGACACGACACAGGTAGTCCAGCCTGGTAAAATACACACAAACCAAGCATAAAGACAACCTTTCCACAAGCACACACACCTACAACGTAAAGCTCCTTCTCCCTCTATCCACGCCTTGTAGTGTGGACAGAGGGAATACAGAGCCCTTGTGCCCTGCGAAGTCAAGTATGGTGACACGGAGCTTGACACTGGCTGACATCGCCAAGCCTCTGACTGGGCTGCCACACCGGGAGACTCAGCACTTGGCCAGCTGCCACCGCCTCCCAGTTCAGCCACTGGTTTTGCATATTTTGAATGTGCATAATCATGATCGAGCAGGTGTATGTGTGTTTTGTCTCACACAATTCCTTCATAATCCTTATTGCTATGCCTTCATATAATTATAGCTCACACCCTTTGTGCATCTTTACTTAAGAGTGCCTGATAGTCCAGAAGTGAAAGTATCTTCCTATAATGGGATTCTTGAAGTGGCCAAAAGTCAAAGGGACCCAAGACACCAGTATAATTTGCCGAATTAAGCTGTTGTTTTCAATTCCTCTTATTCCTCTGAGTCCCTTGAAAGTTAAATTCTGCATAACCACTGACTCCAAATGTGGCTCTCATGTAAAAGAGGAAGTGCAGTGATGTTTGGAGGAAACAGTTCATTAAAAACAAAGCTGGACTTCACTGGCAAACATCCCATTGAATTCAAGGGTTTTCCAAATTTAAATCAATGTCTAGGTGACTTAATTTCGAATAAACCTCTCACTGCTTGCTGGCAGGTAAAGTGCCTGAACTGTGTCCCATCACTCAGTAGTGATTTTGTTCGTATCCGTCTACCACATTTGTGGTGCTTTGGCTGAGAGTGAAAAGGAGAAAAAAAAGACAGTAAGAGGATGACCTTCTTTTCCTCATGGTTCACTGCCACTGAGGGGACTTTCTGAAGAGCTGACATTCCTCTGTGTGGTTTAATCTACAGTTTTTTGGCCACCTATTGTGCGCTCACTGGGAATAACCCAGCTTTTTTTTTTTTTTCTTCAAATCTTGTCTAGAAAAAGGTAGGAGGCCTTTAGTCTGCATTCCAAATGGGCAGGAAAAGTCTCTCAGGAGACTTTGTAAGTATTTTAGTCAAGTTCATTACTCCAGCTTGTTTGTGAGGTCAGCAGTCGGGTATCATGACAGAGGGTTTCATTAAATCAGGTTTGTCATGGTTAGTGGGTTCAGGGACTCTTAGTGATGATTGAAGGGGTCAAGGTACAAATGTTTGCATCCTGGAAATTGACTGTGCAAATCCCTGCTGCCAGATGATTTTCTTTTGTTTTTTGTGCACATAGTTCTCTGGAGTGTGTATATGGGAGCAGCGGAGGTTAGGGTGGGGTCAAATGCTGTGACTCAGACGAGGCTCCGTGTAGGAGAGTTTGACCCGTGGTGGTTGCCTGAACAGGTGTCTCCGAGCTGCAGCTCTGCATAGCTCGCATTCTCAGGGTTTTGTTCCTGGCGTGGATGGTCACTGAGCTGGGGGAGGGAGATGTGGGAACTGAGAATGCTATGCATAGAAGGCTTAACTCCCAGAATTCACCCTGGCAACCTGCTGACAGAGACAAACGCTTCCTGTCCCTACACCAGCCTGGTCTATGTTGATGAGAAACCTATCAGCAGCTCAGTGCTGTGCCCACGGCCGGAGACAAAGCTGAGATTTGGTTCGGAACTGCTTGTCAGCAGGGAGGCTATTTTCTTGGGGCTTAAGGGTGGGTGGGATACAGTGGTTTAAGACTCTTAATCCAAGCATTAGTTTGGATTACTATCAGCTCTCAGATTCATGGGAAATTGCCTTGTGTGAAGACAGTTCATTGGAGTTTGCCTGACCACTCTATGTCTGTCATGTATCTATGACTCTCCTGGGTGTCCTGTGGGAGATGCTTCAGGAGAATGGGGTACTGGGCCTGTTGTTAATGCTGCAGGTTTTTAAGTATCCCGGAATCTTGTTCACAAGTGGGGGAAAGAGTGGACAGATGGATTGGTGAAGCATCTGCATCATCTATTCAGATTTTATGAGGAGAGAGCTGAGCCTAGAGGCAAAACTGTCAATTTGATTGGTCAGTTTAATTTCTGAGCTTTATCTCTGCCCATGAGCTAATGGTAGCAACTGAAAGACACTTATGCCTGCCTGGACACACACTTATAGACCTGTTATACCTGTTGTTAGGCTGTGTTGCGACACGCGTGTCGCCACATTTCTATAGCAGTTCTACCAGCACTGAGGGCGTGGTTACTTTCTGCAGTATTTTCCTGAACACTAGGTGTCACTACTCAGACAAAACCTTCACATCAGCGCTGCTGTACAATGAGAATAAGTTAAAACTGGAAGCAGAAGTCTCATTTTTTTCAAACTATTGCAATATCGTCCTCTGTAT